CTCAGAAAATGCAAAACACCTCACAGTTCACAAAGCACATCTTACTCCTTGTTTTGCTAGGCCCATATAGAAAATGCTGGTTTAAGAGCTCAGTTTCCTCTCAGCTCAACTATAGAGATCTGTGTGAATCCAGTCCTGCCCCCACAAAGCGGGACTCATCTTTATTTGAATAAAAGTAACAAAGAAGGTGGTAGAGTGTAGAGGGAAGAGAAAATGGTTTAAATCAAATGTTAAAAATGTCAATTAATATTATCTTTTCCCTTTTAATATTCATAAAGAGATTTTCACTTCATAATGATCTTGAGGACCAAACTGGCACGACATCTGTCCTCTAAAACCTGCCAGGGATAGATGTCTATCCCTCAAAACCTGCTGGGCACATTCCCTTTGCTACAGGATGCAACACTGAACAGCAGAGAGCACGGTGCTGCAGTCATCAAACAGAATATTAAGTAGCTGGTCCTTAAGCAATTACTACCTACCCTGTACACTGAACAGGACACAGAAGACTCTCAAAAAGTTGCGTCAGGCTATTCTAAAGCATCTGTGCTAAGCAGAAAAACAAGCATGAAAACTTCACCACTCAGCAAGGAGACCACTTTGGTATTTCCCAACTTAAGTACTTACCTTTAAAACTCTATTTTTTTTTTAAATCGACTTTTTTTTTCTGCAGTGGATGAATATGTGTTACATCAAACTACAAAAGAATTACTCCGAAATAACCAAGAAAATTGATTGCAAGCTTGCTGTTCTTGCTACCATGCAGTCAAGAATAGGAGAGAATGTTTCCATTTTACACAGCGACCTCCTAAACCAGAGGAAACCTTCCTGCATGAAATCCAGGTAACCATAAGGTAACACAAGATGCTGTAATTCCAGTGGGAAAAGCAGAATCAAAATAAAGCACTTTTGAAAATAGTCGATATTTAAGAACAGCCCCACCACAGAAGCTCTTTGTCTTGCAAAGAGCTTTGCCCAACTTACAAGCCCCATTCAACTGTTTGTTTAATGGAAGGCTAAAACCAGGAGCGAATGCAATGAAAACTGAGCACCCATATCCATCAGACAGCGTGAGAAAGAATTTACAGCTAGTTAGAATTATGATTTTTTTTTTGTTACATCAAAACAATTCTGCATTAGTTTAAGTAAAGAGTCTTCTTATGCAAAAGGTTACACTGGATTCAGGTGGTAAGCACTATAAATATGGTAGATAATAATGTCATATTATTATTTAAAGTGATATGAAAAAGACTTCTCCCAATCTAGCCCCCGGCAACTTCAAAACTCCTCTCAGAACATGACTTCTTCAGTTTAAGTAGTGCCTGGACTGAAAAAGCTGTACTGGCCCAATTAAAGAACTTCACCTATACCAGTATCAACCATATACCTGTAACTAGAAAATAAAATGCTAAAAAGCCCCAAAATTATAATTGTAAAAAATTCTACACTTTTGGTAGAAGTAGAAGGGTAGCTTATATCCCTTAATGAAATTTCATTTTTTGGTGCATATAAAGTTTATCTTTATTCTTTCTCAGTAAAATCTGTGTTGGAAGAAAAGAGAGGAATAGTTCAAAACTAAGAAGTACAACAATGGGCATGAAAAAAATAATAATAAAGCAAGAGCTAACCAGATATGCTGCCCAAAGTCTTTATGCTGCATTGCATTACTTTTTATCTCTTTACGTATAAAATACTGATTTTAACTGGTGCTACCAGAGCATGATGGTTTGGGTTTACAATTTCTGGGAAAGCAGGAAAAGCATTTATTTAAAAAAAAAAAAAATCTGACATGTACTCATCACACTCTGTAAGGTGTGAGTAGCAAAGTGCACATCCCAGTGGAATGAATTTGAAGTTGGGAGCCAGCATCCTAATTCTCCTTCATTTGCCAAGGAAAATCTAGGCACAGTTCCAGGCTTTTGTTTCCCTTCTAGTTTATACTGCATATGTTTCAATAGGTAGTGAGTACGTAGTTATTCACCTGAATAAATTACTTTTTTTCTCCTTACTCTTGGATTTGCTTTGATTAGAGTGCTCACTTGTGCTAAGCCTGCTTTAATATTATTAAGATAACTGGTTTTTCCAAGAAGCCATTTGGAAACTTAATCTGATCAAAGTGTGCTCCTCCCCAAAAGGCAAAGGAGGAAACCTCTCAGAATCAATCTAGCAACCATTTGTACATAAAGAAGTAACAAGCACCATATATATGTGCAATTTTTTACATTAGTAATGGAACAACATCTCACTATAAGAACTGGTTTTAAAAGCTATTGTTTGTAGAGCTCAATTTAGAATTTCTGCTTTCTGCCTCAAAACACTCCTCTTTTTAGGTTGTTTCCAGGGTACCTCAGAAGGCACCTGTAGAACAGTATTCACCAAGAGCTGACCCAAGCTCAGCACCATGCACCTCCTTGCTCTGACTCAGCTCTGCCCTATCCAGTGCCTCCTGCTCCCAAGGGCTCACCAGCACAGACAGGAGCTAGTCCTGGCCTCCATGTAACACTGTGCCACACCAGCAAGCCACTTCAGAAACCAGCGCACTGGAGGGCACAATGTTTAATCAGGCGAGCCAGCCACAGAAGCACTTCAGATCCTCAGGACTTTTCAATTCAGGCATCACTCATGATGAGAAAGTGGTCGAACGGCTTGGAGCATGACCTGATCTTGGAAGCAGTGCAGCCCATTCTGCGCAGTGCAGAGGCAGACCTTACCAACTCCACTCTAACCACCCTTGGTGTCTTCCTGCAACCCAGAGAAGCCACCCACAAATAAAGGATAATTTAGTGTACCTCATTAACAGCAAATCAAGGCCTTAAGATAATGACACTAACTGCTAAGAGGAATAAAACTTAATATAAGAAAGGAAACTAGCTTAAGAGAATGCTTGTTTCTTCACTCTACGGGGGAATACTACTTACTGTTTTACAATGTCAACACAGAACTAGGCGCCTTCTGGGACACTATATGATAAATGGTAGGCAAGAGTCCCATTGTTTTTTTTGCACTATCTTCATACACATAATATTGCTATTATAAATGGGTTTTAAAATACAGTTACTGTTATCAAGCCCTAACAGATTCTCAAAAAAGTTATGCCTAAAACACATTGTTTTTCTTTCCCGTTTTTTAACTATATTCCTAGACTGTACTTCTTTTAGCACGAAATCCTATTCCTATGAATAAAAAACATCTCAACAGGTCAGTGCCTACATCTGAAGTTCACTTAAAGGCCTACAAGACTCAGTGAATGCCAGGAAATGAGATTAAAGGAACATAAAGCTGAACTAAGATTTAACTTCAGCAGCTACCAAAGCAGCAAAGACTTTCAGTGTGAAGTATGTCACAATTTGTTTGCCTGAAGGTGCTGTCCTAAAGCTAGTTACAGTACACTTCAAACACTTGTCTAATTGGACATGCCACAGAAACTTTTATTTAATCACCTTCACCCAAAGTGACTGGGTGTTCCTAAATACAAGGCCAACTTCACGATCCAGGGTGCTGCCCCAGGCCACAGCAGGCCCGCCTTGACATCCAGAGTACTGCGGAATGGATGGCTATTTGTCAGCACCTTCTGCCCCTTGCCTCCTCCCGATCCGGGCAGGGAAAACACGGAGAAAATACCGCAAACACATGAGAACCTCTGCGCACTCCAAGGGCTCCGCAAGGTCCAGGGGCGGGCACCACAGCCCTGCAGGGGTCCTGGACAGTGCTTTCGGGGCCCACACAGCGGCGGAGGGGGGACGGTGCGGCCGGGCTCGCGCGTGTGGGGCGGGCAGAGCAAGCTTGCGACGCCTCCCCGTGCCGAGGGCGGCCTGTCACCATCCCGGTCCTGAATCCGGATACAGCGGCGGGGCGGGGACGGGAGCGGCCGGCACAGCGGGACGCCGAGGGCTGCAGGGCGGGGGTCGAGGGCGGCCCTGCGGAACGGCCCGCTCTCGGAGCGGCGGAGCGCCGGGGCAGAGCCGCTGCCCCGCGCGGCCGCCCGGCCCGAGCTGTAACAGGAAGTCCCTTGGCCCGCCCCTCCTGCGCTGAGGCGGCTGCGGGGCCTGCGCGCCGGGGCCGCTGGCTCCCATGGCGGGCGGCGGAGCGCTGGCGGCGGGCAGGGCCGTTACCGGCCGTTACCCTGACCCCTCTAGCACCCCTTCAGGCGCCCGCCCGCCCACCTTACTCAGACCCCCCACCCCATACCCCGGCCATTCCCCGGGAGCGCGCTACGAAACGGCGCGTGAGCCTCGATCCCGCGCGGGGACCTGTCCAAGGGGGGGGGGGGGGGAGAGGAGCTGGGTGACCCCACAGTGTCCGTCCCCCCCGGGGGGAAGCAAGGAGGGAAAGGCAAGATGGGGTGAGGGGCAGGGTGAGCCAGTACCTTGGGGTCGATGTCTCCCACCACGAAGAACTTGACATCTTTGAACATATCCTCCGGGACTTTCAACTCCTCCTCGTCCGCCAACATGGTGCCGGCCGCCAGTACCGCGGGCGCCCCCCCCCCCGCGCCCCCTTCCCGGTAGCCGTGCGCTCACTGCGGGGAACCGGCGGGACCCGGGTCTCCCGTCCCCTCCCCCTGCCACCGAGCCGCCGAACCGCGCGAGCAAGGCGCGCGCTGCGGGATACACCATCCCCCGCCGGCACGCAGAGGGGATGTAAGGGGGAGGGGAGAGCCGCCCGGACAAAGCGGCTCCCCCCGCCCGATCAGACACCCCCACTGCCACAGGACAGCGCCCGTTCCTAATCCACGGGCCTATTCCTGCTCGTCCTCCTCTCTCCGAACCGGACCGGGAACCAGCATCCGGGTCCGAAGCTCCCCCCGCACGGAACGGAATGGACTCTCCCCGAACGACAGAGGCGGGCAGCGGGGATACCCAGACCCGCCCATTGGCAAACAGGCGAGGAAAAGGGGGGAAGGGAGTGAGCCGCCCGTCATCCCCGCCCCTCAGGGCCGCCCCAGGCCCCGCCCCTCCCGTAGGCTCCGCCCCCCGTTCCCGCCGGGAGGGAGCCGGTCGCGGTTGTGGTGGGTTGTCTCAGCAGCTGCTGCTCCAGGTCTGGCTCCGCCTCGTCTCCACCCGCGCCGCGCAGGCGAGCACCCCGCCGGGCGGAGGGGCCCTTACAGGGACGGGGGAAGCAATGGGCGACGGCCAGCGGCCCTCTCAGGTGTCAGGGTCTGTCCTGAGCCCTGGTTCCTGAGCCGGGCCTTGTGTGGGTCGGGGGGCCCGTGTTAGGCTGGAGCCGCACGCCTGGTACTATAAACGTGGGGAAAGCGAGGAGTAAAGGGCTTTGGTACCCCATTTTCTTCAGGATTCCAGGCTTTCGTCTCTGTTTACTGGGGGAAATCAAGCAACAGTCAGGTTGGAGGGGCTTTGAGCAACCTGGTCTAGTGGAAGGTGTCCCTGCCCATGGCAGGGGGTTCGAACTGGGTGAGCTTTAAGGTCCCTTCCAGCCCAAACCGTTCTGTGATTCTGTAACTCATCACTGCAAGCACTAACAGACTATATATGCTGTATGCATGTTACAACATTCTGCACTTCCCAGTTTCAAACCATTTTTCAATTCATTAAGAATATCCCAAAATTCAGTACTTCCCCAGAAAAAAAAAAAAAAAAAAAAAGAAAACCCATATTATCAATTCCAGCTGGGAGTGTGTGTAATCCAATAGACATAATATGTATTCCAGCATCCAACCCATTAATGAACATACTGACTACTAAAGAAATTAAGACATTTTCACTCAAAAGTCTATTTAAAGCATCCTTCTATGGTGATAGTAAACCGTTAAAACCTAGAGGGGGATGTATCTCATCTAACTTTAGATAACTGATCAGAAACCATAAATCACCACTTTATATAAATTACCTTTATAGTCAACACAGAGAAATGAGCACTTTCAGAGCCTGATTCGTCTGGTGTATTTCAAACATCAACATGGCCAGATAAATCTTCCCCACTTGATATGCTTTCCAAATGAGTTTTGGACCCCTCCTAATACTTTTATGTGGACAGTGTTCCCCTCCCATACTTAAGAGTGATGTTACAAAATGGAACCAAAAGGCTTACTGAAATAAAAATACAGGACACTTACTCTTTGCCTCCTACCTATAAGGCAGGTCACACTTTTCCAATAGAAAGATTTCTTTCTTTCTAATTATTATTGAAACTATTAATCTGCCTAGTAAGTATTTTAATGCTATTATTTATCCAGTATTTTGGGGGGAGTTGAAGTGAAATTTAAAAAAATTCTTAATTTCCTTCTTGTCCTTTTTCATGGAAGGAGCTTCATCCTTCTGTCTTCTGGTCTTCTGGATCTCCACAGGGCATCTACCCCTTTTACCTCCAGCTAGGTAAGAAATACCCAACCTATCACCCATTCTTTTCCTACTCCAGAAAGAGATCTTACCCTTTGATTGCAGGTTGTATTGTATTACTCCTCCAGTTACAATTTACTTTTCAAGTGAAAACCCAGGTAAGAAGTCCTACAACTTTGTCCATACTACAGGGGAAAAAAAGTAGAAATAGCCATCTCCTTTTAAATCTCTTTATCCATTTCATCTAACAATTCATATTCTCACCTCCCTCTTTTCTAATAACTCTGTTTATGGTGACTTTCTTCTGTCCCAGGTATTTCCCGGATTGTCATTGAAAAACACTTCTCTGAGCCTTGCCTTCCTTTATAGCCACTGTCCAGCCCACCAGGTCCTGCCCTTGCTTTCTTTGTTCCATAATTTTCACTCTTTCCACCTCCATTTTTGATCCATTTTTACTTCTTCCCACTGAATTAGAACTGCTTTGACCAAGATCTTCATTCACCTGCAGAGAAATATTTCTTCTTATTCTTCTCAATCTATCAGATATCATTAACACCATTGCTTCCTGAGCTTCCTGCATCTTCCAGCACTGGTAATTGTCATCTCTCTTCTTTCATAAATGTCACTGTCTCTCAGTTTCTGTTCCACATTTTTCTCTGAATTCTTTTCATGATGTCATTCATTACTCGACTCCATCTTCTTTCTCAGTGTGATTGCTAAATTGCCCCTTCTCATAAGAGTACTTTCCTTATATCTAATCTCATATGCTATTGTATATTCTCACTCCACACAAAGAAAACCAAAGTAATTTGTCCTCTCAATTTCCCTTCTCAGCCTATTTTCTTTGTTACTCTAATGAGTTCCCCTGGCCTTCCTATCCTTTGGATTTACCATAGCCCCATTACTTTTAGTTCTTTGTATGACTCCAAGATTACAAGTATGTGAATGAGGTGCTATGCTAATACTGACAAAGGATCGGTACACTCTGCATGGGATTTTTAATAAGAATGCCCCTTCCCAAGCCTTCATCTGAAGTTGTGCTATTGCAGTATCAGGTGGGGTCCCTTTTGATGTTCTTTTTGTTCATCTAGTCAAAACAACAATATGAGACAAATTTGGTATTTTAAATCCCAAGAATTTGAAAATTCTCTGCAAGATAAATATTAGCAACACAAGGGCAGATTACTGCATTAAATCACTGAAATTCATTGCAAAAGCAGTTTCCACAGAAAATCTAGCCATTAATAAGGTGTCAGCTTTAACCAGAATTGTTCTTTTTGATGGATTTGACAAAAATCCAAGACTGAAGTTTAATTCTATTCACAGTATAGAAGTGGAGTGCAATGGGGAAAATAAGAGAGGCTAAGAATTAACTAAAATAGCTTTACTGAAAGAAACTGGTTTTATAAATTCAGTCCTGGAAAGCAAAAATGAAGTTGTTGGAGCCCTGGCCTGGGATATGGGATATGGACATTTGGGTCTGTCCTTCTCATCCTGAATGGAGTAAAAGCAACTTCACTGAGGCACAAGGCTGCTGGATGCCTACATCCTCTGTGTGCTATTTAACCACAGAGCTTTTGATAGAAATGGGAAGAATAAGGCCATTACATCCTTCCACCAAAGGAGTGAGCCCTGAAAGCAGCTCCTGGACAGAATCCCGTAGCTGTGCTTGGTGAAAGGAGTACTCGGAAAAGTTTGCCTGAGCTTGAGTAGCTATCAGGTAGGTAACCAGCTCTTAGGCACAACCCCAGCAAAAGTGTTTCTGTATGTGCCATGAAACAATGCGCAGCAACAGGTCTACAGAAAAGTTGCCTGGTAGAAGCTTGAACACCCAACACTTTTAGTGTTCCCTACGAAGTAATTTTGTAAGTCTCAGTATTGGATTTTTGGTCACATAGAGTGGCTGTTGTATTACCAGCAGTGATAGTAAATCTTCTCATGCAGAAGTTTCTTTCTTTTATCTGCAGTTTTGTTGGCTTCAAAATGACCACTCCCAGGAGGAAAGACTACTCACATGAATCACAAATTATTCCAGTTAATTATCTTCTAAATAAGAACTTGAATTAAATTAATGAACATATTTTTCAAGTCCTTCCTTATGTATTTCATGAGTCATCTGTCAAGAAGTTATTTAAATTCTAGTAATTAGACTATTTCTAACAAAAATGAATAGCTCCAATTTTTGCATTGTGTGCGTGATCTAGTTTACGAACCGTAAGAACAGAAAAATACATTGAAAAAGTATCTTATTGAAGAAGAAAAATATCCCAGGTATTTGCGAGAAATTCTGGGCTCTGCTCACAGGTTGGCATAAAGACCTAAAAATCAAATCAGTGGGCTGGCTCCACTGCTTAGATATAGCAAGGTGGAGAACAAAGTGCTCACCTATATCTATCATAGAATGGTTTGAGTTGGCAAGGACTAGGTCATCTAGTTCCAACCCCCCTGCCATGGACAAGAATATCTTCCACTAGACCAGATTGCTCCAAGTCCAGTCCAACCTGGCCTTGAACACTGCCAGGGATGGGGCAGCCACAGCTTCTCTAGGCAACCTGTGCCAGTGCTTCCTCACCCTTACAGTGAAGAACTTCTTCCTAATACCTAATCTAAATGTACCCTCTCTTAGTTTAAAGCCATTGCCTCTTGTCCTATCACTACATGTCGTCTCCATCTTTCTGGATAAAGCTCATCTGCACAAGCTCAGAGGGACAATGGCAGGAGGGGGAGCCCAAACAAAATACCCTGCCAGGCTGCTCCCATGCCCATCCTAGGGACCATTGGCCCATCGAAAACGCACCTGCACAAGCCAGAGAAACAAAGGGGCATACTTGCAGGTAGGAATCCAAACTAAGGTACCACCACTTTGTGCGGGTGCCTCCCAGGTCTGTCCTAGCAGAGTCAGCAGCCCCAGTTCAAACTGGACCTGGCAGTGAATAAGTGAAGTGCCCTGGGAGTGAAGGGGGTAAGTGGGTTTCCAAGGGCCAGCTCTGGGTGTGTATCTCAACGGGCAAGAGCACAGGGGAGACCTGAGAAGTCACGGCTATTTGCACGTCTGACACTCTGTACAACCAACTGGAATACGGCTGTAGCTTTGCAGATCATATGTCCAGATGCCAGCAGCTGGGGAGTTGGATCAAGAGGCCAGCTACTGGGCAGACTGAGTGTCTGAGAGAAGCTGCTATATATATATGCATATAAATATATACACACACATATAAATATACATATATATATGTACATATCTTCTCACTAGTGGACTTACATGCTGTCCAGCCACAGGGAGAGCCAAGAGACTGTTGGTAGGTCTCATCACAACACACAGGGATGAGAGTGGTTCAAAGGAACTTCATTCCTGTAGAAGCTAAGCCATGGCAGAATCTTAATCTACCCAAGATTGGACTCTTAAGTACAGTTTCTGCTCTGATACAGCCACAACAGTATAATTGCACAGGAGCAACCACTCTCAAGATCAGTTACACCTTAATGCAAGTTTATTTCTGGGCTTACTTCTAGTGAATAGAATGAACAGAGGTTGTGCACATCACCAAATCCACAGTGATCTGAACAGCACATTATCTGTACTCTAAACACACCAAGCACAGTATCTGATGTCTTAACTATGAGAGCTCTGTACGTAGTTTGTTACAGCAAAGCTGTAAAGTGATCTCTGTTTTGCAGCAGGCATTGCTTGCACATAGTGAAAGCCCACTGAGTTGACAAGATTTGTGCAATTAGTCTTTGCTTACATAAATGCCTTATTTGTGTGCACAAATGATTATATGAAAAATTCATATGCACCTCCAATATCATATTTAGGCATAATTGCTTGTGAAAAAACAACAGTTTGATTTTTTTCTTGCAGTTAATTAAATTCAGAGCTTAGATTAAATTGATTAAATTGTGTATTTGTTTTACTCCAGTGAGCAGAAGGCTTTCTAAATCCTTTGTTAATAATACATGCTCATTTGGTAGCAGCTGGCTCTCTAGATGTTACTATTCCAATAAAATATATCTTCACAAAGTATGCAGTTTTGTACAGAAAGCCAATATTAGTTTCAATATGCCTGGAAAGTTGTTGAGCAGTCCCAGAAGGCATGCTTCCTGCATTGTCACTGTACAGATTTCTCAACATGAATAAGAATCTGGCTTTATAATGTGAACCAAAATATGCAAAATAGGTACATAAAGGGCTCTGCTTTGGCTTGAACTGTCTACACATTTCTCCTCTTTCCTTCAGTGGGACTACTTGCAATGGTAAATATGATTTATAATGAAAAACTTTCTTTTTATCTGTACTGTAACACTGAATCCTAAAAGTTCTCTTGGAACTGATAGTTTCATTTTCAATTCTCTTCCAGTTCCAGAACTGCACAGAGAATGCATTCTCATTTGCTTGACATTTTTCTTTTTTAATATAATAGTTACAAAATGTTCAGCAAATGCCAAGTAACAAGGTGTACCTTTACTATAACTGTGCAGAAATCAGCAGGGGAGGAGAATGCTCTCATTAGCACATCTAATATAAGGGCATTTTTTATCATAGCATTAAAGGAGGAGATACAGTCCTTTCTATTACCTGCTAAAGAATGCATTTGATATATTAGCCCACAGGGAAAGGTGAATGAGATGCTGTGTGCTACATTGCAAGGATAAAAAAAGATCCCTAAGCTGCAGCTGGGTATGCCTTTATCAAAATATAGCTAGCGGAATGGTACACAGTGTTAACCGTACTAGTTACACTTGTCTAAAGCCACTCCTGCTCCAAGATCTTCTCCATCAAGTGTCAGATAGCACCACGTTGTTACAGAGCTTGCTTGAAGTAGGTCTACTGGGAGGGCTGCACGGTAGTTTTTAGCTAATAAATGAATTAATTATGCAGACTGATGCAGGACTTGTCAAAACTGCAGTCTCCACACATGCAACTGAAAAGAGCTGCCAGAATGGATGGGGGAGAGCAGGAGGAACCTCTAGTTAATCCCTCTCCTTTAAAACTTCCAGTGATAACATCTACACAACCTCCTGATACCTTGTTCTGGGGTTGTAAAAATTCCTTATGGTTAGAAAGGCTTCCCTAATATCTGATCTAAATCTTCTGCTCTGTAAATGAAGCTGATTCTTTCTTTGGTTTTCCCTCAGACTACCAATAACGCTCTCTATATAAATTTTTCTAGATACATACAAATTTCATATATATATAAATATTTATATATAACAGTATATAACATACTTTCTCAATGAGTTCTGGACCTGGTTGCATTGCATCTCACAAGTGCTATAGGCAAAATCAAATAATTTGCCATAAACAAAAGGTGATACTGTAATTTATAGGATCCATTCTTTGCGTCTCAGGAGAAGTCTTTGCTTCTGCTCCTACTAACGTACCTGACAGTTTCTGTATATTTTCCAAGGTTAAGAAAAAATGCTTGCAAAACATGGTTGGGTAATTACCCTTATAGCCCTTCTTTGTAGCTTGTCAAGATTTATTTCATTGACAGGCTTTCCATTTGGGTAAATTAGTATCAGCTAAACAATGGAGAATGAAAATTTTCCTTTAAACCTGGCTTTTCACTCATGCAGGCCTGGAAAAAAGAGTTCATGAAACTTGGAGTTACTCAAATGAGCTTTCCTAGAAAGGAACAAACTCCAGAGACTCACAGAATTGTTAGGGTCAGAAGGGACCTCTGGAGATCACCTAGTCCAGCCCCCATGCCAGGTCAGGGCCACCTAGAGCAGGTTACACAGGAACATGTCCAGGTGGCTTTATTTGTGTCAATTCTTTATTATGTGATTCAAAGGACACTAACACTTGTATTTATTTGTATGTTATTAATGCATAAATGCAGAAAAAGGCAACTGAAATTGGTGGCTTTCCAGAGCATGTTATGGAAGAGTATGAAGAGTGAGACTGGCTACTTGTCTGAGAAGATCTCCATTTTTTGCTTATGGCTAAATTTGAGATGATAAAACCTTTACATTACATCAGTCTCTTTCTATATGTGGTCCAGAAAGTAAAATGTTTGTTTTACTTATCCAAAAGGAGGAACAGACAGAAGACACTTGCCTGAAGATGTTGCATCACATCACAGCTGTACTATTCTTCTGGCTCACTGCTGCGAACAGGAGCAAGTTTCCTCCCTCCTTTCTATGGCAGCCTGATTGGTTGGGTGGTTGGTGGAGTTTGCTATACTTCTGTGGCTCCTCTTAAACAGGCTGTGACTCTTATCTGACTAACATGGAACCAGACTTACTGAAAGCTAATTATCTGGTCTAGTTCCTTGAACCTAGATTTATGCAAGGCCTGAAGCAGCATAGAGCTCCATGCTGCTGAAATGGGAACAGTTGTCCACTGCTAATTTAGATCCTCCAGCCTGCAATTTCACTTGAGTTGACTTAAACCACCGCAAACCTCCCCTGGTTCTGGTCACTCATTTCTGCCTCTACACTTTTTTTTTCAGCATTACACTCACATGAAAGTTTTGGTGTCTGAGGAGCGACCCATGCTGATCTTTCTGAGAGCAGCCTATTAAAAATGGTTGCATTTTCCACAGGTCATTTTCCTGACTCCGTTAACCCAGTGGTGGCTCAGTGTGGGCAGTGACTCAGGGTTTACGGAGCAGGAGATGGAGGGCAGCAGCTATGCAAGCCTGTCTGGCTGCCTGTGCCACCAGAGAAGTTCATAAGTAGCCAAGGGGTCTTAATGCTAAGACCAATGGAAATATTTCTGCCAGGAAACTATCCCTAGCTGATATAAATTCACAGCAAGTCCATCATCTTTGGCGCAGTTCCTCCAACTTGCAGAGTGCAAGGCCTGAGATCACTTAGATGAACCTTCCACATGGAGCAGAACTGATCACTCCATTGTTCTCTAAAAAACAGCCCCAGCCTGGGAGCACATTTCTACTTTATGACCTTCCCAAATGCTGAACTTTAGAGCAGCATTTTCAGGGTAGCCAAAAGACATGGACCTGCACGTCCTTAAATGTAGACACAAAGGTAAACATACTTACCTGCCTATGATATGGTACAAATAGGGGAGCTGATTGCATTTGTCACACATTGTGTTTGCAGCTTTGGGAGGCTCCCAGTACTTCC